TTTCACTCTTGTTACCCAGGCTGGAGTGCAATGGCTCAATCTCGGCTCACCGCAACCTCCGCCTCCTGGGTTCAAGCGATTCTCCTGCCTCAGCCTCCCAAGTAGCTGGGACTACAGGAGCACACCACCATGCCCGGCTAATTTTTGTATTTTTAGTAGAGACAGGGTTTCACTGTGTTGACCAGGATGGTCTCAATCTCTTGACCTTGTGATCCACCTGCCTCGGCCTCCCAAGGTGCTGGGATTACAGGCGTGAGCCACCACGCCCAGCCCTTCACTACTTTGTTTATTGTCAGGTATTTTTCTGGCCTCACAAGTTGATGCCTCACCTACAGATTTTCTAGAGAATTTCTACAGGCTCAGTAACCTGTCTGTATTTAATAGAACGGTGAGTTCTTTTTCTCACCATACTCTTATTATAACTGAATTTTCTATTTATTGCAGATCCTTGCCAGCACATTAAAGAATATTTTTGTTGAACCTTCTTGAGAATTCAGAGAAACTGCTGTGTGACCACTGAACGAAAGATCTAATCTTAAGGCTTACGTGAGTATTTACTACTGTGGACTTCCTCACATGATATGAAGCCTTCATTGAACTGCTTTAGGGCAGATTCAGTTCTGTGATCAAGATGAAAAATATCTATCATTGGGCTTATTAAATGTGGAAGTAAGTTTAGCAGTTGCTCAGGGACACAGAGAAACTGACAAAATACACACTTATTCTCACCTAACAAATAGACACAGGGACTCGTATTTCTTGCTGAGCCAACATTCTGAAGAATCCTGGTATACAAACCATGAGAATTCTTACTGTGTTTGAATCAAAAACACCAAGCAGATATTTAAAATTATCTATTCTTACAAAATTTAACCAAAACACATAACCTTTTGAAAAGCATTTGATATGTGGAATTTCATTTTTAAAAAGGTTAATGATAGCTTTTCCTTTTTTATGATTCAATACTGTACAAGCTTGTCCAACCTGCAGCCCAGAACAGCTTTAAATGCGGCCCAACACAAATTCATAAGCTTTTAAAAAACATTATGAGATTTTTTTTTTGCAGTTTTTTAAAGCTTATCAGCTGTCATTAGTGCATTTTATGTGTGGCCCAAGATAATTCTTCTTCCATTGTGACCCAGGGAAGTCAAAAGATTGAACACCATTGCTATAAGGGAAAAATATTTAGATTACCATCACAAAAGAATTCTTGACTATTTTATTGAGTAAATTATTCTCATTGAGTTTTTCTTGTTTGTTGGTTTGGTTTGGTTTCTTGAGACAGGGTCTAACTCTGACACCCAGGCTGGAGTGCAGTGGCTCAATCACAGGTTACCATTACCTTGACCTCCCAGGCTCAAGTGATTCTCTCACCTCAGCATCCTGAATACGTGGGACCAAAGGCATATGCCACCATGCCTGACTAATTTTTAAATGTTTTTAATAGAGACAGGGTCTCGCTATGTTGCCCAGGCTAGTTTCAAACTCCTGGGCTTCAAGCTGTCCTCCCATCTTGGCCTTCCAAAGTGCAGGAATTACAGGTGTGAGCTACTGTGCCTGGCCAGATTTTTCAAAAGTCAACATATGTATCATAATCTAAAGTTTATTTTGATTTTTTAACCTCTGTAGATTTTAATCATAAACATTTTTTCTTATTTGAAATTATTCTTAACAGCCTCTTCTCACCTTTCATTTTATCTCCAGTGAGTTATTAAGTTGTGCTAATCCTATTTTCTCTGTTCCTCTCCAGTATGTCTCCTTCTGCCTGCTGCTTCCTTAGGTTAGGTTTTCATTTCTTGCCTAGATAGCTGCAGTGACCTAATGATTGATCTCCCTGCCTCTGGTCTTTTTTTCTCCAATCCAACCCCTCCATATTGCTACCCAAGTAATCTTTCTGAAAGACTAATAAGACCAGACTGTGCCATTTCTTTGACTTAAAATCCTTCACTCCACAGCTTCTGTACAGCAAAAGAAACAATCATTAGAGTTAACAGGCAACCAACAGAATGGGAAAAAATTTTTGCAATCTACCCATCTGACAAAGGGTTAATATCCAGAATCTACAAAGAACCAAAACAGATTTACAAGAAAAAAACAAACAAACCCATTCAAAAGTGGGCGAAGGATGTGAACAGACACTTTTCAAAAGAAGTCAAATATGATGCCAACAAACATGAAAAAATACTCATCATCACTGGCCGTTAGAGAAATGCAAATCAAAACCACATTGAGATACCATCTCACGCCAGTTAGAATGGCGATCATTAAAAAATCTGGAGACAGCAGATGCTAGAGAGGATGTGGAGAAATACGAACACTTTTACACTGTTGGTAGGAGTGTAAATTAGTTCAACCATTGTGGTAGATGATGTGGCAATTCCTCAAGGATCTAGAAATAGAAACTCCATTTGACCCAGCAATCCCATTACTGGGTATATATCCAAAGGATTATAAATTGTTCTATTATAAAGACACATGCACATGTATGTTCACTGTGGCGCTGTGTACAATAGCAAAGACCTGGAACCAACCCAAATGTCCATCGATGTTAGACTGGACAAGGAAAATGTGGCACATATACACCATGGAATACTATGCAGCCATAAAAAACAATGAGTTTGTGTCCTTTATAGGGACATGGATGAATCTGGAAACCATCATTCTCAGCAGACTGACACAAGAACAGAAAATCAAACACCACATGTTCTCACTCATAGGCAGGTATTGAACAATGAGAACAAATGGACACAGGGAGGGGAGCATCACACACTGGGGTCTGTTGGGGGGGTGAATAGGGGAGGGGCAGTCGGGTAGGGAGGTTGGGGAGGGATAACATGGGGGAGAAATGCCAGATATAGGTGACAGGGGGATGGAGGCAGCAAACCACATTGCCATGTATGTACCTATGCAACAATCCTACATGTTCTGCACATGTACCCCAGAACCTAAAGTGCAATAAAAATATATATATATATAAAAGGAAAAAATAGAAAAGATTTTTTAAAAGTCCTTCAGTGGATTGGACTCACTGAAATAATAATCCCAGCTATTTAGGAGGCTGAAGTGAGAGGATTGCTTGAACCCAGGAGTTTGAGGCAGCAGTGAGCCATGATTGTACCACTGCGCTCCAGCCCAGGTGACAGAGTGAGACCCTGTCTCAATTAAAAAAAAAAAAAGTCAGTGGCTCCTCACTGAAATTCAGGTATAATAAACCTTACTGTGGAGTTAAGAAGATTAAATTCATTAAGCGCTCCTAGTTGGTACCTGGCTCAGAACCAGTCTCAGTATATGCTAATACCCACTCTTTCCGCAGAAAGCCCATGGCAGCAGCAGAGCCCTTGCGTAAGGCAGCCCCAGATTTTGGGACAATGGCTCTGCTGGGAAGCCAAGTGGAAAGGAATAAGGGCAGCAATCTCACCAAACTCAGCAACCAGGCTTCCCTGAATCGCTTTGAGGTTAGGCACAAGAATAGATGGGTCTAGCATCCAATTCCATCAGTGTTTCAGAAAGAGAGTCTCCCTGATCAGCTGTACAAGCCAAGTCTATCTGTGACTAAGCTTTTGTAATCTAAGAATAAAAATGCCGTCTCTAGAAAAGCATTGGTCTCTGCCTTTCTGTTTTCTTGTTTGTTTTCTCATCAATTTCCTAGTGGAGTTTCTTTTAACAGGCTTTAACTCTTTCTTAAACGAACTTAGGGGAAGAGAGAGAGACCTAGTTGCATGCACTTCGGTAGACCTAGAATGTCCTGGGAGTTCAGGTGCACCAGTGGGTCCGGGAAATGTCCATGAAAGACATGTGGGCAAACTGGTGAGCTGGATGAGTCCAAGAGATGAAATTCACATTGGGCCTAGTTAGGATTGTGGCTTTCTCCTGACTTGGTATTCCCAGGCAGCCCTACTTTTTTTTCCTCGTCTCTCAGTCTTTGGACAATGGGAATTTGGCATAATCACATATTGAGATAACCACGGAGCACAGCAGAATAAGATTAATACTGTAAAAATGAGCATAATCTGAATCGATTTCATATTTCTGATTTTTAAATTCAGTTTGTTACTTTTCTTAGCCTTTCTCTCTCTATGAGAACTTAAAATTTGTGCTATAAACATAACATTCTACAGGTCCTCGTTGAGTATAAGTTCTTTTCATGCAAGTAGTTTTGGTCACCATATAGAATATCTCAAATACAAGAAAAAGCAAATATATGAAAGATAATTATTTTGTATTAAATAAAAATGTCTACTAGCAGCAGCATTTATATATGGATAGTTCTTTGATGTTTAAACACCATGTTATCTGTGTGTTCTGACAATGTAATACTTAAATCTAAGCTATTATATCTTGCTTAACTTAAAAAATATCTCTTAAGCTTTTTACATGGTGAAAAGCAAAATAGAGCTTTATAGTAATTGAATTGGAATTTTAATCCAGCAGATGTGAAGAAAATAAAACATTTTAATGAAAAATAAAATATAATTGATAACTTTGTTGTTGTTTCTGTTTGGTAAGGTAATTTATTTATTAGAAGCAGGAGGCCAAAAAAGATAAGAAAATGACTTCTTTGTCTTAATTTCATTTGGCTTCATCGAATCTCACTCACCTATTTCACTACAGGCCTGTTCCATCCACCACATCAGAACAATGTCGTACGTTTTTGTAAATGATTCTTCTCAGACTAATGTGCCCTTGCTACAAGCCTGTATTGATGGGGACTTTAATTATTCCAAGCGTCTTTTGGAAAGTGGCTTTGACCCAAACATTCGTGACAGCAGGGGCAGAACAGGCCTTCACCTTGCAGCAGCTAGAGGGAATGTAGACATCTGCCAGTTACTGCATAAATTTGGTGCTGATCTTCTGGCCACAGATTATCAAGGAAACACAGCTCTTCACCTCTGTGGCCATGTGGATACTATTCAATTTCTGGTTTCCAATGGACTCAAAATTGATATTTGGTAAGTTCTCTGTGGTTTTAGAAGTCTAGTCATTTCTTCCCATTACTCTCTCAACTGATAGTCTTATCGCTGGGTCTCTGTTGATTTTATTTGTTCATTTATCAATTGAAATGATAAGTTCAGACAGGCATTGAAGACAGTGTAATCCTGTCAGGCAAGTGAAAGAATGAGGGGCTGACTTCTAGATTTTTGCTGAAGCAGCATATTTTTTTCTATGAAAATAGTGGATAGTTTCTGCTACTAATTAATTATGTAGTTATGTCAAGGGAAGAAGAAGAAAAGAACTAACATTTGTTGAAAATCCTGTTTACTTGTTAGCTCATTTAGTCCTCAGAATGAAGAGCTCTCACCATAGGTGTTATCTTCATTTACAGATTAGATAGTTGAGACAAAAAATGATTAAACAAAAGATGACAAAGGTCACACAGTTTATAGAGGAATAGTAAAGGTCAGTTTATGAGGGACAGAACTGGAATTTGAACCTAGTTCTGCTAACTCTAAAGCTTGTGTGCTTTCTGTGATGTAATGTACCATGTGAGCTCCATAATCTCCCTGGAGTCCAGGATCCTTTTTAGACTGAACAATTTGAGGAAGTCATGGTGTTTTTTGTTTGTTTTCGTGATACTCTGCTTTTTGAGTGGGAAAGATGTCAGGTCACCTGTAAAACTGAGCTTGACCTTTAAATTACAGTTTCATGCTCCCCTAATTTATTGGTGCCATAATGCCCCTAAATCTGAATAAGACAGTAAATATTTCTCTTGCTGCAGTACAGAATGGGGTAGGAATTGACTGCAGGATCTAATGTGATTGAGTTCTCTCCTATTGATAGTGCTAAATAGCTGTGAGAACCAAAGCAGCTTATTTGACATTTTTTTCTTAGACTAAAAAAAAATGTACTCTTCTCATAAAGTATAAATATCAAATAAGAGTGAGTCTAGAAGTAGATTTATTCACTGTTTTGACTATATGTTCTCTTTTTTCTTTTCCCTGGAAGTAAAAAACAAAACAAAACAAAAAAAACGGGTTAATTCAAAATTCAGCTCCACTGGATGTTTGGCTCAGCTCTGGGTTTTACTTTTGAGTTAATTGGGCCCCATCCTTTTTTTTTTTTTTTTTTTTTTTTTTTTTTTTTTTTTTTTTTTTTTTTTTTTTTTTTTATTCTTCATAAACACTTGTTTCTGTAGCACAATTCAGAAAATAAATAGAGGCAGACGGCTCTAACTTCCACCACAACCTGCTGTTGAGGAGACATTCAGTGTGAGGACAGGGGCTGTAGGTGGGGGATGTGTTTGGGTCACAGGGTAACGGTCTCTGTGATGAACTCTGCAGAGATCCCAGCCTGATGGTCAAGGCTCACATGGAAGAGTTGCAGTGAGCCAAATGCTCCTTTAGTTTCCCACGGCCCTCGGGTAGGTCCTAATCAGGCCCATCCTTTCTTCACCGAGATCTACACAAATGGGTACTAACAATGGAACTGACAATGTAGTAAGACTGCTATGATGACTTCTTACTTTTTTTTATTTTTGTGAACTTTTTTTAGCAATCATCAAGGTGCTACCCCTTTAGTTCTGGCAAAGCGCAGAGGCGTAAATAAAGATGTCATCCGATTGCTGGAATCTTTGGAAGAACAGGAGGTAAAAGGATTTAACAGAGGAACTCACTCGAAACTGGAGACCATGCAGACAGCTGAGAGTGAAAGGTACTAGAGATACAGTTGTTTTTTTAAGTGACCAAGTCTCACTATATTAATCATGCTGGACTCGAACTCCTGGGCTCAAGCATTCCTCCTGCTTCAGCCTCCTGAGCATCTGGGACTATAGGCACATGCAGCCATGCCCAGCAAGATATTAATATAATTTTTTAAGGGAAAGTCACTTTAAGTACCTGGATCTTTTGTGGCAGCTTTGTGAGCTTTAATATTCATTTGCTTTTAAGTGCGACTTGAACTTTATATAGGACCTTATGGCTGCAGATTACAATTGAGAAGCTATTAACAGAAAGTACTACCTGTCACGTGCACATAATGTTCTGTTAGCCACCTGCTGTATTGACAGTACAAAGGAGGAGTGGTAGTTAACAGCTGAATCTGAGGGAAGGAAGCTGGAGCTTGAGGATTTTAAGTACAGGTCACAAAAAGAATGGACTTTCAAAAGAAAAAAAAAAAAGAGAAGTATAAGTAAAGCCAAGAAGTTGTACAATTTTAGAAAAGACCAAAAGGTAGTTTCAAGGGTAGGGAAGTGGAGTGCTGAGAAACAAAAAAGAGGAGAGGGAAAGTAAGATAGTATTTAACACGTGCATAGTTCAGTAAGTGAAAGTGAAAGTGACTTTCATATGAGTTGGAGCTAATGAAATTTGGACTCCTGTAACTAATTTAAGCTAAGATGTGACTGACAGGGTCTTGAATAGGTCATCATTTCTCATTTAGAAGCAATGGAGAACGAGGTTCAGGGAGCTCTGAAAAGATGGCAAACCATCTTTTCTCCTGGCATCACTGGGCTCAACAGGTAAAGTGAATAGGCCATACCTAGTTCTAGTAGCATGTACTCTGATTGACCACCATGCAGTTTCAGCCTTCCAGATTATACAAGTGAAGGAAGAAGGATGCTTAGCTTCCATAGTCTCTTCCCAACATTCTTGGTAGATTGTAAATAGAACAAACAAGGGCCCGCATCAGCTGTGTACCTACTAACTGATGGACTAAGACTTGGATTTAGAATCACATAGTCCATTTAGACCACTGGGATCATTGTTTCTGTGAGTTCTAAACGAAATCCTCTCTATTTTTCGTAGCTCACCCTTCATTTGATTCCTTTGTACCCATGATTGCTTTCCTCTTCTCGTGTGCCAGTTGATGTTCTTTGGGGATCATTAATTCCACTCTCGAGCTTAGGTCTGTTTTGTTTAGATACTTTCAAGCACTTAATACAGTCCTAAAGAAATCCAAGAGCTTTTCTTCTGGAACAATGCATACTCCTCATGAGTGATCACTGAAAACTGACAGACAGATAAACAAGAAGTTAGAGATTTATTTACAAGCCCTTTTTTTCTCTCCTGTGTACTCTGGATTGACAGAATTGCATAAGCACTTTAACAGTATTGAGTTAACTATTATTTGCTAAAGATTTGTTCCTCCAAAATAACTTGAAATTTATTTTTATCTTTGTAAAAATGTTATTAAATTACTTTAAGCTTCTTTACCATGAAAAACAACCAAGAATGTATTTTTAGGGCCTTTATTTTGTTAATAGCCAGTTTCTTCGCACCTCTTGAGCAGAAATTAGAGGTGCCAGTTTCTTGGCACCTCTAAATGCAAACCTTTTAGCATTAGTTTGCCTCAGTTGTGGTTGCTTACTAAGAAGTGATTGATGAACAGATTGATGAACAGTGATTGATGAACAGGATGAACAGATGAAGCGCTCCTGCTTCCTTCACATACCTGCCATTTCACTACAGCCTGAGAATTTGTATTCATTATAACACTGTATAAAGCTCATTTTTCAAAAGTTGCGTTATTAACATTTGTATTACCTAGTTTTCCTATCTTACTGCTACCCCTCAGTGTCATGGTAGAAATTCAGTGGTTGAAGCTTACATTAGAAAGTTGAAAGGTAATGTCATTAGGAAAATGCAAATGAGGGCCACAGTGAAATGCTACTTCACACCCACTAGGATAGCTGCAATTAAAAAGACAGATAATAGCAAGTCTTACTGAGGATGTGGAAAAGTTGGAACCCTCATATACTGCTGATGGGAATGGAAAGTAGAGCAGCTTCTTCTGAAAAATCTGGCAATCCTTCAAAAAGTTACACATAGAGTTACCATATGACCAGCAGTGCCAGAATCAGTGTCTTTTATGGTGTTTGTACTACCTTATTTCCAACTATACCTTATTTTGGTATAGGACTATATCAAAGAAAATTGAAACATATGTCCACACAAAAACTTATATACAAACATTCATAGCAGCATTATTCGTAATAGCCAAAACATGGATACCACCCAAATATCCAATAACTGATGAAGGAATAAACATCATTTGTTTATCCAATGGAATATCATTAATATTATTATTTTGTACTGATACATGCCACGGTGTGGATAAATTTTGAAAACATGCTGCATGGGAGAAGCCAGGCACAAAAGGCCACATATTATGTGATTCTGTTATGTGAAATGTCCAGAATAAGCAAATCTGTAGAGACAGAAAGTAGATTAGAAAGTGGACTAGGAGCTGGGAGAAGGGGCAATGGGAGTGACTGCTAACAGGTACATAGTTTCTTATAGAGATGCTGAAAGTGGACTAGAATTAGAAGAGATGGTTGTACAATTTTGGGAATATATGAAAAGCCACAGATTTGTACAGTTTCAAAAGGTAAATGTTATGGGATGTGAATTATATCTCGACAAAAGTAGAGGAAAAGGTTTAAAGACATTGGCTAGTATATGGCATTATGCCATAATTGTGTAATGGCTTTTTCTAGAGTAGAAGATAAAGCAAGGATTTAAGTGTATTTACTATAATATTTTCCTTGTCTCTTAGGATTCCCTGAGACATAGCACAGCTTCTACAGGCCTTATACGGGACTATAAACCAAGTTAATGAAAAATATTTCCCCACTCTTCCATATAAACCTTAATTCCTTTTTGCTTTTTAGGTATGGGATAACAAACACAATATAGATATCACATTTTTTAAAAAAAGATACAAACACACCCCCTAAAGACAGTGTAGATATCGCATTTTTTAAAAAGATTATATACATATTCCATTACGTTAGAATCAGATATTCCCTGGACAATAGAAAGCATTTCATTGGATAAAGTCTCTATAGAAAATTCTGATTGGCAGAGCTTCACGAACTCTGAAGAGCAATGAGAGAATGTTCATTGAATTTTCATTTTATACCTAACATGTTTGAGTATAAAGGCGTGTCAACTCATAATCAATAAATTTTAGATAAGACGAACTAAGCCTCTCCAGATCTTTATCTGTTTATGGTTTTACTCTTATAGGCCCTCTCAAAGTTCTAATCTTATTTTTAAGCTTGCTCTAAAGTTTTCTGAAATTACTGTATTGTAGATTCCCACTGAAAACATCATCACTTACTCAGAGAATAAATGTCTTTTAATTATTTCAAAAAAAAATATTTGGGTGTCAAGCAGACTGGCCCATTAGGAAGTCAGCCCCCCATGATTAGAGAAGACCTCTAATGCTGGTAAAGGCTGAAGGACTTTTGTTTGATGGTGTCAAAAAGTAAAATAAAGTTGTAGGTTAAAAAAAATACCAGTTTGGCATGTGTTTACTCATAGTTCATAGTGAATGCAATGCTAAGACATTGTTTTATGCTGTTTTCATTGTCCTCAGATGGTTAGAAGGATATGAAGGGAAGGGGTTTAGGAAGGATAGTCAAGACCTTTAATAACCGGTAGCTAGTTGATTTCTGTGATCGTGGTTATTATGGCTTTAATCGAAATGATACCCTCTTACTGGGCCTGTATGTTGTGATATAACCATGGGTGTTCTTCCCTTAGTGCTTCCAAGTACCAGAGTCAGATGCAGTTTCTCTGTGGTGGTTATATTTCTCACTGATCAAGTTCTGGAAACCAGAATCAGTGTTTTTATGGTGTTTGTACTACCTTATTTCCAACTAGATTAGCCCTTATGCAGAAGAGAAATGAACATACTCTGTCTTATTGTACAAGATAGACTAAAACCAGTAGGTAGAAACTATTAAGAATTCCTAATGACTAGGCCAGCTGTGGTGGCTCATGCATGTAATCCCAGCACTTTGGGAGGTCAAAGCAGTGGATCACCTAAGCTCAGGAGTTCAAGACCAGACTGGTCAATATGGCGAAACCCTGTCTCTACCAAAAATACTAAAATTAGCCAGCCATGGTGGTGTGCACCTGTAGTTTCAGCTACTTGGGGGGCTGAGGCAGGAGGATTGCTTGAGTTGGGGAGGTGGAGATTGCAGTGAGCTGAGATCACATGACTGTACTCCAGCCTGGGTAGCAGAGTGAGACTCTATCTCCAAAAAAAAAAAAAGAATTCCTCATGACTAGACAAGACCACATGTACAACAGGCTGAGGAGTAAGCTTCCATTATTGGAGAATTACATTTAAAGAGGAATTCCTTCATTGGTCAGATCATTAAATTAATAAAAATTCCCTTCTAACTTTAAGATTCACACACTATGTATAAGTGACTTTTAAGATTTACTCATCATTCCACCCCACCGCCCCCGCCTCAAACAGACATTTATTTTCTCGGTGTTCTAGGGCCTAGTAGTCTGAGATCGAGATGTCACAGAGTTGGTATCTTCTAAGACCTCTCTGCTTGACTTGTAGATGACTGTCCTCTTCAGGTGTCATCACCTGCATGTCTGCTTATTCTTGTTAACACATTCTTAAATTATGAGTCTGCACTTTGAATCTTCTAAATTTAACATAACAAGAATGTGTTGTGATTTAACATCTTGATGGAAACAACTCATTTAACCTATTTCAAGACTTCTGCTCAGCACATCTTTAAAAGAAATAGAGAGATGGGGTCTTGCTATGTTATCCACAGCGGTCCCGAACTCCTGGGCTCAAGTGATCCTCCATCCTTGCCCAAAAGTGCCAGGATTACAGGCATGAGGCACCACACCCAGCCAGGGCCTTTTCGATAGAATTTTTAACTTGACTTTGCTAAATTCTAAACCAAGTGAAACATATTTATTACCATTTAACAATTTACAGTTTAGGATATATGTTCAGATACATAAGCATGTAAGAGTTTACACACACACATATACACATGTATATGTATATATCAGTTTTCTTTTTGTAAGTGTTGTAAGTTTGGTCTTTTCTAAATAATAGCCCTATAGTTTTATGTTTTTGGAATTGCTGTGTTTTTTTTAATGCCCTTTTTGCTCTTTCTTCTTCCACAGTGCCATGGAAAGCCATTCACTCCTCAATCCCAACCTGCAGCAAGGTGAAGGAGTCCTTTCCAGCTTCCGAACCACGTGGCAGGAGTTTGTGGAGGATCTGGGCTTCTGGAGAGTGTTGCTCTTGATCTTCGTCATTGCTTTGCTGTCTCTTGGCATTGCCTATTATGTGAGTGGGGTGCTACCCTTCGTGGAAAACCAGCCTGAACTGGTGCATTAAAGGAGCTCATGGAAGATGAGGCAATTAATTGCCTGTTTCCTGGCTTCCCATATTTGTTCTTAGTTTCTCAGAATTTTTCTTAGTGCAAAGCAGTGAGGGCGGTACATGTTTCTTTTTGCATTTTTAATTATTGCAATCCTTTGAGATAACAATATGTTCATTTGAACTAACTACATACTATGATCAAGTATATTGCATCCTAATGCTACCTCTGACTCAACCTGACCTTGTAGGAAAACCTACACATAGCCTTGTTTGATAAAAATGCAGAAATGACTAAAGAATGGAAGATAAAGGAAGAGACTAGGAAGTCCTTACTATCGAAACCTTATCCTAATATAGGACCAATTGAAGTATTCAAAAAGAAAAAGAGTATCTTAGATGATTAGTTTTTGTTGGTGATTTTGTTTTTATTTATTTTTGCAAAAGTCCCTTTACTTTCTCTAGGGTTAAGAGATATCTTAAACTTGAAGTACTTTTTTCATCTTGTATAGCAAATTAGTATTGTTAGGATCTATTCAGTTTTAGTATTTTCAAATCTTGTCACAAACCAAACAAAACTTTTGAAAATGAGCCATATTTTGTTCAAAACTAATTGATTTGATCTTATATTTATTTTAGGATGATTTTTTTTTTTTTTATTTTGTAAACTGCTTTGCTTGTTAATATCTGTGAAAAATAAATTAGTTCATTTTGTTCAGTTTCCAATTTTCCCTAGTATCCTATTCATCAAAGATAACCGTTAGTCAGAATTACAGTCAGAAAATTCTTTTTCTACTGAATAGTTAGCAGGGAAAAATAATCCTGATATTTAACTGTCATAATTCTGTAGTGCTATTATAGTGAAAAACTCAGTTCTATAAGCTAGCTGTGTTGTCACAGTTTTATCATAGTTCATAACGATTTCATGTGCAATCCTATTTAGAGGCCCTGATAGACTTTTAACAATCCCATCCATATCTGTAGTTCTCTGATGGCAAGAATGGATGGAGCATTTCTGAGTTAACAGTGCTGAACAGTATTGTACTGGGTGTTATAAACTCTTTATGAATGGTAATATTATGTAAATTGAAATCTGGTCCCCAAACTGTATTGCAGCTTTCAGAAGTATGTTGGAAAGCCTCTTTTATTAATGATTCTGTGATGTATGAATTATATTTTTGAGTTATTAAAAAAGAATATGAAGGCTTGATAATTATTCACTGGGTAAAGTCAGGAAATTATAGTGAAAGAACTAATGGTTTTGTTTTTTGGAATAAAGGCACCTAAGCTGTTGCTAATTGAATTGCTTCTAGAATTAGAAATTATGCTTTAGAGTAGAATTGGTATTTTTGTGATTCTTTTTGCTTCTTGATATTTTTTTTATATCTATATATCTAGTATTGAGGCTCGCTCTTTCATGTGGCTTTATCCTCCCTAATAGCTGTTGTAAAATGCCTGAGTAACTGGCTGCTTCAGGATCAGCTTTTAGGTTAGATGCAAACAAAATAAATCATAGTTTGTGTAAATACAGCAAAAACAGCTGGCTGTAGAATGGAGAACACTACAATTCAAATTTGAAGTATATTCAGAAGAAAAATTTGGAGTTAGCTTTGCATTTGTTTGTAAATCTAAACAAATATGCAAAATTGGTCCAAATGTAAGTATGTAGCATTTTTAAAGATTAATGCTTCCTTTTATGTGCTGATTTCTTTGTATTCTGTTCTCTGCATTCATTGTTCAGTAATACCACTAATAAATGTATTTATAAATCCCTTGATCACATTTTGTTTTTTGTTTTTTTTTGTTTTTTTTAGTGTATCATAGTTTTTCTTTTAATTTGGGAATTTTCTAATGGATTTCAATTAGCTGCTTTTTAAACACAGCTTTTTTCAAACCTCACGTAATAGGTATATTGAGTTTCATATATGTTTGCCTTATAAATACTCTGAAATTCGAGTGAATTGCTTATAGATTTAAGGGTGATGATAACTACCACAAGTAAGCCCCTCCCAATTATGCAAGTTATTAGCATGCCCCACCTCACTTTACCACATGTTCCCGGTTTATAAGAGGAGAAAACTGACACAGGAAAGGTTAAGTAACTTGTCTAAGGTCAAACAGCTAGGACCTGGTGGAAGAAGGCTTCCAGATCGAGGCTGCAGCCCCACTTAGGCTTGCTCTTTCCTCCTGCCCTGCTGTCGTGAATCTGGAAATGGAACCATGTTTATCCAGAACCTTACCTAGTACCATTTCAGCAGGACATTACTAAATTTTCCACTCGTGGTCCTATATACTTACTTTTTTTCCCTTTTAACACACTCTTCCCAGTGATAGAAGCTTTAATATTCAAACCCCAACCCTGGCTTGTTCAGAAAGTCTTCCATAGTTAACCATACCTGACTGCTCCTTCTCTATCCCTCCTTTCCCCACCACTTACCATACTCAGTTTTATTACTTGTATTTTGCATTCCTTGATCTATTTCTCTGCAAACATGATTTTCTTTCTAACTTGTTTATTTTAAGCTTCATGAGAGCAGGGACTTGGTCTGTTTTTATAACCTCATCTGTCCACAGAGCATCCTGTAGAGTTCTTTGTACACAAATGCTAATAGCATTACTTTTTTACCTGGAGCTCTATTTTTTCTTTTCAAGATGAATAACTCTGCTCCTTTTATGCCTTCCCCGAAACAAGCTGCAGGTGTGAGCTGTGCTTGGTCCTCCTCCCACAGCGTGCCTGTGGCTCGATGGACGAACTATGCAGGTGGGCAGTGTGGAGCCCCTCACCTGCAGAGCATGCAGGCTTCTGATATGCAATGCCTGCCACAGGTTTACCACTTGGTATAGAAGCCCAGGACCAATATTCACCTGCCACTGCTGCTGTTTTGGTTTTAATATTTTTATTTCAAAACCATGCCTCAGTCTTGGACTTGTGAAATTGTTTATGCATGTATCAAAGTGCTTTCAGCTGCAAGAACCAAAACCCAAATTGAAAACAGCTTAACCCATAGGGAATGTATTTTTTTTTTTATGTAACTGGATGTCCAGTTTATGTAACTGCAAGTCCAGTTACATAAATCCCATTTACATAAAGAGGTAGGGTAACCCCAAGGGTGACATCATCCAGAATCTTTAGCTCAGTTCTCTTGTGCTCTTGGCTTGCCCTCTTTGTTGGCTGCTTCCTCCAGCTGGTTCTGCAGTGAGTACAGAATTTTTAAGCATCACATCCATTTATAACCACGTAGAGAAGAGACCGTCTTTCCTGTGACTCCCTCATAGGGAACTTTGATGCAAACTTAAACTGTTTCACTGGCTGACATTGTATCACGGACCCCGTTCTCAAACCAGCCAGTACCCTACACAGGTTGACTTAGGCCTGGATTGATGAACCAGTCCTTGACAGGGGTGGGGTTGGTAGAATTCGTATGTTGGGCTTGGACTAATGTTTTAGAAGCAATTGGGGCCATTCCTGGCAAACCATGGGCAGGGACCATAGGTCTTTTACATCCCATAGTACATGGGACAGTTTAGCCTAACAAAAGGTTGTTCTACATCCCACATGATTATTGAATGTTCTGCTGGACATTCATGTGTTTGAAAAACAAACTTTTAGATATCTGAACCTAAAACCAAACTGCATTTTACATTTTAAAACAAAGTATTTGTTGGTATAGTTTTAATGTATCATGAATTTTCCAAGAATACAACCACCAGATAATTAAGGGAAGATTCGACCTCATTTTGTTTAAAACTTGAAAAGTTTTGGAAAGCGGTACAATCCTTGATCAAAGGATTGTACCAGTTTCCAAAAATCTTGTTATTGACAGCAGCGCTACTTACAATTAAGTCACCAACATCATTCTATTACAGATATTAATTGGTGGTTTCTTCTAGTGTAGTTGTGCCTGAGCATTTACATATTGAAATACACATTTTATTATAAATTTCTTTCCCTTTATTTTGTGTTTCTATTACATGATTTTTGTGAAATCATTTTATCGATTTTGGCAATTGCCAAGTCCTGCTTATCTGGGACCCATTCTATAGCTTAGCTTATTTAATCTTTTTTTTAAAAAACAGAGTCTTGCTCTTTCACTCAGGCTGTAGTGCCATGGTGCTGTCTAGGCTCACTACAACCTCTGCCTTCCAAGTTGAAGCTGTTCTGCTGGGATTACAGGTTTGCACCACCATGCCTGGCTAATTTTTGTATTTTTAGTAGAGATGGGGTTTCATCATGTTTGCCAGGCTGGTCTTAAACTGACTTCAAATGATCTGCCTGCCTGAGCCTCCCAGGGTGTTGGGATGACAGGCATGAGCCACTGTGCCCAGCCTTATTTAGTCATCTTGATGTACATTTTCCAATAGTTTACCTTGGAGTGAACACCAGGAAGTAGCTTTCCCAAAGTTAATAGAACATTGAGGGAAAATGAGGCCAGTATCTGTTTAAACACCTTTAAAATTGTTCAGGCCGAAGCAATTCCACTGTGCTACATAAAGTAGAACTTTGGGATTAGGTTCATTCCTTTGTGCTCCAAGTAGATTCAAAACAATTTTCTTTTTTTTTTTTTCGTTTGATACGGAATTCTTCGTAGCTCTACCATGAAAATATGCAATGGCGTGATCTTGGCTCCCTCCGCTCTCCTGCTACCACTTGAGACAGAGTCTTGCTCTGTTGCCAACCTGGAGCATAGTGATACAATCTCGGCTTACTGCAACCTCCACTGCCTGGACTCAAGCAATTCCCCTGCCTCAGCCTCCTGAGTAGCTGGGACTACAGGCACGCACCACCATGCCCGGCTAATTTTTTGTGTATTAGTAGAGATGGGGTTTCACCATGTTGGCCAGGATGATCTCTATCTTCTGACCTCATGATCCACCCGCCTTGGCCTCCCAAAGTGCTGGGATTACAGGCTTGAGCCACTGTGCCTGGCCGATTGAAAACAACTTTCTCGGAGGCGGGCGGATTTTGGCTTTGGCTCCCCTCAAAGCATACAATAGGCTGGCATTCTGTTGAGCTGCTCATCCTTGACTTTGCACAGCACAGCCAGGGACTGCTCCACAGCCAGAGGCATAGGCCTCAGCATTCTCCTGGGGACAAAGGAAGGTTTGGCTACATTCCTTAGATTCAAGGACTACAATCTGGAGTTCCTCATTACCCAACACTCATCAAAAGCTTCGCTGATAACAGTATTTAGAGAGCATTGCTTGGAGGATGCTTTAGAGCAGAACTGTCTATTCAATCTTGACAGCGTTGAAGATTTTCTGTATAGCTGTCCAGTGCAGTAGCCACTTTGCCACCTGAGGCTGTTTAAATTACATTAGAAATTCATTTCCTCATTATTTTAGCCACATTTCTAATACTCTTGGGCAGCACAGATAAAGATTTCCATTTTTGCAGAAAGTTCTTTTAGACCACACTGTTGTAGAATCTGCCTGGAGTTCAAGTCAGGTCAGTGGAGAGCTGGGTACTTGAACTGTACTAATGGCAGTGCCCAGTCCAGTTACTTTTACTGAGCTCTCCATTATTAAGTGGTAACACTATACTTCTTATTAATTCAATCTTCACAAATGCTATTGTCCCCACCTCACAGTTAGAGAAACTAAGGCACTTGAGGGAGGTTTGAATAGCATGCCCAAGGTTACATGGCTAGCAAGTGGCAGAGCAGGGATCCGAACACAGGTAACGGGACTGGGGTCTCTTGTCATCATCATGCTGTGATGCCTGTCTACTTAGTTGTGATTACATTGTCTTGAAGTAAAAGTTGTCTTCTACCCCGTGGACTGAACCATTGGATCTATTCCAAGGGAAGCTACTGAGGATGCCGTTGGCACCATTCTTTATGAAGACCCCTGACAAGGAACTTTTGCTTCTTACCGCAAACAGCTGGATTTCTGCTGAGCAGTTACTTTGATTTCATTTTATGTTCTCTAGAAGTTGCGTAATTGATCAGGTAGAATTCATCTTTCACACTAGATGCTGAAAAGCTTAATGCCAAATTTGAGTTTCACCACAAGCAACTGTAACAGATCATTATGATGATTTACTAGAACCTCATTCCTATTGATTTTAACCTTCATCTTTAGTTTTGTTTTCTTGTTCTAAATGTTCACTTCAGCCTACTTAAGTTGTTTTTAGATTATGATGGGGGTGGATAGTTAGACAGCTATTAGTATGATTTGATAGAACTACCACAAAATTACTTTTTGATTTCTGAAACATAACAGCAGAAAATGTATTGACCTTTTGCAATTTGAAAGAATACTTTGTTGCTGCATATTCAAAATGCAATCATGGTTTCTAGCATACCTGGAAATGTCAGTTTACCTTGTTTGTGTCTTTATGTGTTCCAAAACAGGATTTACGTTTGGCTGAATAAGCAGATACTATTCTAAACTATGGAAATGAAATGACCTAAGTTCTACTCTAGCATTCTGATGACTCATTTGAATGAAGCCTGAAAAGTGAACATTAACAAGTTACTGGAATCAGAGAATTTTAGAGATAGGGCATTAGAAGTCATCTGGAGTGGAGAGGGATGTGTGGGGAGACCAAGGGGAACGGAATGACTATGGTTCCATTCTTAGGAAAGGAGCAGAACCGTTATTTGAATCCAGATATAGTCTGTTACTCCTCCCTCTTCCATATTGCCCCTCCCGCACATGCTGCCATCACCAGCCCCCACCTCACTGTGCCATTCTAAATATTACTTAAAATTACAAGAGTCTGGTGTGAAATACCTAAAGATAGACTGTGTCACTATTGTGTTCTGTGTACTTT